GATAAATCTGGTACATTACAAAAATATATTCTGGCAACACTGTATCTACTTACTTGCAGTTTCCTTATGAAGACAACCAAAAAACAATAAACGAAACACTGGAGGCGAGTTCGGATAGTCAGGGGCTGGAGCGGGACAAATTTTAGGGTGCTTTTAAATGACATTTAAGCGTGTTAAACTGTCACTAATCGGACTAAACCGAATTATATTCGGCGCTTCGTCCGAATAGATTACTTTATAATAACTTAGTAGTACCGGTTTTCGGTGCTAGATGGCACAACGTTCAAAGATAAAAAAACTTCTTTATCGGTTAAGTATGCTTACCTACTTTACCGATCCCTTTCACACGTCATAACGTTTTTTGTGCCAAGATGGTATACACGTTCTTTTAGGAATAGAGAAGTTTTATCTCTAAAATTTTATAATTAGTTGTATTTAATAATATTTATTTTTAAGGTAAAATGGGAGAACATAAGAAGAGGAAAAGGTCGTCTTCTATTTCTCGCTCACCCTTGCATAGAAGGCCGCTAACTGCACTGGAAAATATGTTGATTAATAATGATATTGAGGTGAGGTAATACAACATAGTGTTGGGGCAAAAGTTCATTAATCACGGCAAAAGAAGTGTTCTGGCTAAAGTCCTTGAACCACAAAGCTGTACATCCCCAGTAAGTTGTTACATAATATATATCCGTCCGCGGCCCAACTAGTGGCCCGGCGTCCTCAAACTCAGTTCATAGTGTTGGGGCAAAAGTTCATTAATCACGGAAAAAGAAGTGTTCTGGCTAAAGTCCTTGAACCACAAAGCCGTACATCCCCAGTAAGTTGCTACATACTATATATCCGTCCGCGGCCCAACTTGTGGCCCGGCGTCCTCAAACTCAGTTCATAGTGTTGGGGCAAAAGTTCATTAATCACGGAAAAAGAAGTGTTCTGGCTAAAGTCCTTGAACCACAAAGCCGTACATCCCCAGTAAGTTGCTACATATTATATATCCGTCCGCGGCCCAACTTGTGGCCCGGCGTCCTCAAACTCAATTCGTAGTGTTGTGGCAAAAGTTCATCAACCACGGAAAAAGAGAGTTCTGGCTAAAGTCCTTGAACTACAAAGCCGCACTTCCTAGAGCTAGACACTGATACTAGCTCGTCTAGGAGACGACCTGGATATTGAAAACAAAAATGGTGTTTAATCCTTACATTGGAAAAAAGTTGTCTTTAATTTTAAAAGATTAGGCAAGGAAAAAATAAATATTTGTCCTCTATTAAAATCCCCAGAAATATATCAAAAATATTTAACTGACATATAAAGTCAATAAAATTAAGTCTGGGAGTGTCCAGTATTGGTAAGGTTATAAATATATTCTTGTCATCTAACAATGAGACATAAAAAATAGTCTGGGAAAACCCTTCGCAGATTTTTCTATAAAATATCAAATGATTCTTTGGTAACAGCTCTGCAAATAAAAATGAAATTGATAAATTCCTGTATTTACTTATATATAAACAGAAATTCTCCATTCAGTTAGGTATAATGTTTGATATACAATAATATATTTAATTAAAATTAATCAAAATAATAGTTAAAATACAAATAATGCAATACAATATGGTTCTAACCCTGGAAATTAATATAAAACCCAAAAGGTAATAGACAAATCAGTCGTGATGTATTTTTACAACACTACTTCTAAAAACAGTCCAGAAAAACCCAGCTTTCAATATTTCGGGAAACTGGAGGAGCCTATTTTGCACCAGGGGGAGGGGGAGGCAGAAAAACTGGACAGGGACCCCCTTCTCTGTTGCACAGAAAAAGGAAGATGAACTATTCTTGTCTGTGCTACCCTCAAAACAAATATTAAAGGTAGGTTTAAAAGCAGGGTAATTAAAATGTTATATCTGAATGGAAAAGCCTTAAACCAAATCCCTTAGATTGCCTGAATTGTTACAAAACTCCACATAAACTCCCCACATAGCAATTTTTCATCAAAGATTGTCATTAAAGACAAACCATTAATTGAAAATTTCTTATAGGACTTAAAGAGCAAGGGTGCATCAAAAAATTAGTTTATTGCGCCCCTTTTTTCCTAGTTAAAAAATGGAGTGGTAAAATTGATTTATTCTAACTATATTTTACCTGACCATTTCAAAATGGAAGATTAAAGAATCGTAAAATTATCACAAAATTCATTTATATGTAAGTACAGTTACTCTGTTGGCTATCTCGATGTGTACAGACTTAAAAGATGGCTATTAATTTCCAAATACCAATTCATAAATCTACAAAATGTTTAAGATATCTTTAATTAGTAAAATTATGAAAACATTTGCCTTTTTAAGAGAAATTGACATTTAGTTGTTCAGTTTACTTAGACGATGGTCTAATAATGGCGAATTCAGAATTATATGCTTTACAAACTAAAATTATAATAGGAAAATCTTGGATTCACAATGAACTTCAAAAAAGTACTTAGTTTAGTTCCTAGCAAACATTATAAATTTTTTAGGGTTAGCCTTCACTGTTGTAAATACTGAAAATCTTATGTCGATTGTACCTACTAGCCGAAGAAAAGAAAATGATTAGTTTCAAAGCAGTCACAAAATTAAATAATGAAAAATAAGGTTTTTTGCTCCTGTTATTGATCTCCTGGTATCTGCTATGCCAGCTGAAAAATATATAGTCGTTTATACATCAAGTCTTTAGAAAGAGAAAAAGTTTTAGCTCTAGGAGAAGAATACGATAACAATTATTAATAATATGAATATCATATTGTAATCATTTATAGTTTGTTGCATTCTATTATGCCCCAAAAATGTCTTGCTCAAAATTGTAATTTTGCAAATATATTCGTGAGGTGTGATAACCACTACCACTTGATATATATTTTTGTAAGTAAACAAAAAAGGACAGTAGGTATCTATAAATCATAAATATCTGGATGAAGTTATAATAATATTTATTTACCATAAAAAATACATTTTCTATTGACTTAATACAATAAATATATTATATTTGCTAAAGATTTGGAGCTGGTGTGAATCAAAAAATTACTGGATTCAAGCATAGTGTACTTATATGCGCATCTTTTCTACTTACATTTCATATACCTATATTTGTTCAGTAGAAAATAAAGCAGATAGGGGTCACGTGTCAGACTTCTTTGGAAACAATATGGGAGTTAGATAAGTCAGTATTTAATAAAATACGTAACAAGAAAAGATGGAACTCCTCTACTATACCTAGAAATATATTTGTATCCAACTAAAACCTATGCATTTCCTCCTTTTCCAATAGTCTTAAGTACTAAGAAAAATTATCATTAATAAGTCTTCAGGAATAATGATTGTCTCTTACTGACCAACACAACCCTGGTTTCTAACAGTAACATCTTTTGAGGTAATCGCACACCCACAGATCGGCGACCGATTGGAGAAACTATCCAACAAGGATTTAGTCTAAAAAATATACTCGAGGTAGGCCTAGGTGATACAATGCTAAACTCACTATCAAAAAATATTTTACAATACAGTTGCCCCCCTTAGGGCATGGCGGTCTGGCCTGGTGGAATTATTCTTGTAGAAAATAAGTAATAAATTTTGTACAAAACGCAGCTGGCTATACGAACAAGCTTTCGTTAGTGTAGTTAGTAATATATTTTACTAATACCTAAAAGCTAACATATTGAAGCCGATATAAATGTAAAATGCCACACAAAAAGGTATGTCTAAGTTAAGGCCTACAAAATCACGTTATAATTTTTCTTGAAATCTTTGAAAAGTGTTGGATTATTTGAATAATTTACCAGAACAGTTGTCACTGGAACAGTTAGTCCAAAAGACCACAATCTTAATTTCCCTGATAATAACTGGCTATGCAAACAAACTAATAAAATACAAAATATCGTAATCACAGGTTTGATCCAAATATTAATTCTAGTGCTCATAAAAACAAAACAGAAAGATTCTAAAACTTGTAAGATTTGTTGGAGTTGGTAATATCTCGTAGAAAATCTTCTAGGATCTGCATCGCTACTACTCAGCTAGAGCATCGTACATAAACGGTAGAGTACCTATATTAATTAATGAAAAGCTTAAATCAGGAAAACTAGGAATTTTTATTAATTGCCAGTTTACCACCATACTAAAAGTGAGAACCTAAAACATACATCAAATTGTTTTAAGAAAGACAAAGCAGCGACGCAGATAAATAGGTAGGTACTGCTAGATTTTCTGCCTTATTCCAGGAGACATTCTGTGGAAAGCTTTTATAAATTTTTACAACAGGCCTCTGGAAGAATCCAGATTTGCAGAAGCAATAATTAGGTATTAATTGTTTTACATTCTCATCATAGAATCTTAAAAAAGATACTTTTTCTGTTTACATAGTAGGTTAGATTGTTTATAAAATTTTTGCTTGTTTTTACCATAGGCTTAAAAACAATAGCTTTTGTTTTTCTAGGAAATATCAAAGAAGATACTGTATAACCTTGATACATTTCCTAAGCCTGAAACAATGTAACTTTAAACAGCCTACTAAGTTATTATAAAGTAATCTATTCGGACGAAGCGCCGAATATAATTACCCGATCAAACGAACTTGTGAAGTTCGATCGTAATTATATGAGGCGCTTCGTCCGAATAGATTACTTCCCATCCCATTTTTACCCAACCCATTTGTATTTGTTTCAGGTAGGTATACATCGAAAAACAAATTTTGAATTGCTTTAAACTTTATGACGTGTGAAAGGGATCGGTAAAGTAGGTAAGCATACTTAACCGATAAAGAAGTTTTTTTATCTTTGAACGTTGTGCCATCTAGCACCGAAAACCGGTACTACTAAGTTATTATAAAGTAATCTATTCGGACGAAGCGCCTCATATAATTACGATCGAACTTCACAAGTTCGTTTGATCGGGTAACGCTAAAAGGGTCGTTTGGAGTTAAAAGTGTTAAAGGAACTTGGCAGACCGAACGCAATGTGGGTAGATAGTGCAAACTAAAAACTAAGCCCATAAAGAAAAAAGAAGAAGAAGAAGACGTTTTATAAAAATTTCAATCTCTGAAAATAAACAACAAACCAAATGTAACAAGGGAAGAAATGAAAATTTAATATTATTCCTCTTGATAAATTATCCATTTAATTTTAATTATGTCAAAAAATATTTTATGCCTAAATGATTTTTCAAGTATATGTCGATTATGCTTAAAGAAAACGCATTCAGTAAATGTGTCTAATGATTTAAATCGTTTTATCAATTCTATTCTCAAAATTACAAATCTCGAAGTAAGTGGAAAACGTTTGCTTACATTTTGATTTTAAAATAAATTGTTTTAGATAATTGACAATAATTTTCTACCAAGACAAGTCTGTAAAACATGCCAGGATAATTTGGAGTTTATTAAAAACTTCATATACACTTGCAATGAAAATAATAAAATTGTAACACGCATATTAAAAGAAAATTTAGCAAATTGTACAAGTCTTATAGAAAATAAAAACGGTTATATCAACAAAGAAAAACAAACTAGCCGGATCAAACTTAAAATTGAATCAAAAAATGCCAGCTCAAATCTGGAATTCACTGGACAAACCGACATACATTGCACACAGTGTCAGACAAATTTTGCAGCCCAACCGGAGTTTGAGAGTCATATGAATGGTCAATATTGTATGTATAGTAGTGGAAGTAAATGCACAATTTGCAATTTCACAGCAACTTGCAAAGAAGCATTAAAACAACATGATAATGAAAACCACAAATTTGGCACTAAGTGGAAATGTAATCAGTGTGATAAAATGTATGCAAAAAAATACAACTTACAGTTACATATAAAACAAACACATGATGGAAAAAAGCCTTTTCAGTGTACAAATTGTAATATGGATTTTGTTACTCAGAGTACTTTGAATAGGCATAACAAAATTGCACATTCTCCCAACTTTACAGAAATATTTGAGTGCTATATTTGTGAAAAAAGGTTTAACAGAAAAGATAATTTGGATGCACATATGAAAAATAATCATATCAAAAAGCAAAATAATTGTTTGGGTAATTTTGATAAATCCGATATTTTTTCTTGTAATTATTGTAATAAAACATTCAGTATACTATCATATTTAGAAAACCATCTAGAGACGCATAAAATTAAATCAAATCCAAAATCTAGAGTTAAAATAGGCAGTACTAATATAAAAAAATACAGATTTGTAACCACTTCTACTTTATGTAGCATTTGTGGTAAATATTTAACAAATAAAAAATCATATTATGCACATATGCAAAGGAAGCATTCAAATATAGAATATAAACAAAAAATTTACCCGACAAAAACCAATTCTGATTGCTTCCAATGCGTAATATGTGGGAAAATCATAACAAAACTGCAAAATCTCAAAATTCACATGAGAATACATTCAGGCAATAAACCTTATGAGTGCAAATTTTGTAGCAAGACATTTACTCACTATACCACTTGGAGTGCCCATGAAAATATCCACACTGGGAATAAACCTTTCCAATGTGTACAGTGTAATAAATGGTTTACTCATAGAAGTTGTTTGAGAAAACACTTACGGAGTTCAGTACATAAGGGACAAAAACAATAGTGAAAATTAAATCTATAGAAGACCAATATTGACTATAAGACCTAAAGACAGAAGCCCCGATTATAAAATAATACAAGTATTATGGACAAAAAGTGGAAAAATATAATTTCGTCAGTGAAAGTGCAAAACCTCATATTTGCCACTTTTGACGAAAATTGTTTTATTGTCTTGTTTCAAACAATGCATGTATGTACAAAGTCTCGTATTAATCAATATAATTGATCTTCTTATTTTAGCGATATGTAACTATTTGAAACATAAACGGAACAAATAAAAATCGAAAAGTGAGAGGTTTTTTCTGTTTCTTCTAAAATTATGTAAGATACGTATACGAGGTTTCGCACTTTCACCAATGATATGTACCTGACAATCGGCATCCTATATTTAGATTTAGTTATTAACTAAGATTTATTTTATTTAATTAAAACAAATAGGCAAAATTATTGTAACTGTAAATAAATGAATGTTTGTTCTGATAAATAAATTGTAACTTCACAAACTGCAATCTACCTGACGTTCCGAATCTTGCCTTTTTGCAGTTAACGACGAGCTAATTTACCAATGTATACAGCCTCCGTAAAAATCCAACAGGGGTCGGCCGTTCACTGAGAGAACAAATTAACCTATAGTAAGAGCAGTGATGAGAGATATGCTTCAGCATCCCTTTCTACATATTCCCTCTTGAATTTTGACCATCAGTAAGTCAAAGCAGATGAAAACTTCTATACTTCTGAATTATCTACCTCTCCTTGTTCATCTCAATTCTTTTGCTGAATCTATATTATAGCATTTCATCTTAGGTCTCATCCTGCAGATGTAAACTTATCTATAAAGGCTCACTGAAAACTGACCTGAAATAGTATATTGTTTAACAAGTAAATCATAGGTGTAGGAAATGACCATTCATTAGCAGATAATTATTTAATGAAACTGGTGAATAAACTTTTAGTGAATAAACTGAAAGTTTATTTTGAAAATTTTGTCAGTTTCAATGTCTGAACAAACCAAATAAAAATTGACAAAAAAAATCACATTTAATATTTGACATTTTATGGCACACATTAATTAAAATAATTAGGAAATGACTACTTTGTGTCAACAGAATTGTCAAATAAGGAAATTCTTAATCAATAATGGTTCAGGAAGTGTAGTTTTGTATTATAGATATAGAACATTCTTTGATTTTAAAGCTACGAGGGCTGTTCTCTTTTCGTTGAGCCTATTAAAGTAAAAAACACGGTTTATTCACAAAAAACATTTATTTCTAATTTTTCATAATATTCTCCTCCACAGTCAATGCATTTTCAACGAATACCATTCCTGAAAAGATGTTCTCCAATCTTCTGGCCGTAGTTTACTTCATTTTTAAAGACTTCAACCACTTCTTTGGCCAATGTAAAACGTAAACCTCGCAATTTATCGTTTTACCGCGGAAATAAGAAGTCATTAGGTGCTAGATCTGGACTATACAGTGAATGACCCACTATTTCCTTTAAGCTGTGGGGAATCCACAGAGAACAAAGCGTATGGACTTCGAAAATGTTTGTGTAAAATAGTGTTCATTGCTTTCACACCAATTTTTAAAGTTCCTTAAATGTTTACATGCCGGGGTCCTCTTTAATCATGTTTTCCAAATAAGAACAATATGTTTTTCTGTATCTGTCCTTTTTGGCTTAGGAGCTCGAAAACTGTCATTTAAGGAAAGTCAACCACATTGAATAGTTTAACAATAATCTACAAATTAAACTTATGTAACTTACAATCAGGTATATTTTACAACTGTTAGTCACTGAACTTGTAAACATCTAGATTGAAATGTCAGACAAAATTGTTGCAAAATGTCATTGTCTCCTAGATAGACTCAGTGGAAAGAGAAGAGCCCTGTATTTTAAAATAAAAGGAATTAGTCTAAGATCTGAAGTAAGGACAACTTTCATCCATCTTTTTAATGGATGAAAGTTTTTTTTTATTAAATAAAATATGTTTATAAATATACTGCAAATGGGTTATCTAAGAAAATAATGTCAAAAAATTATATTTATTTTCTTAAACTAAAAAAAAAAAAAAAACGACACCCTATAAAGTATTCCACAGATGTTTCGACAATGCCCAAAATATAATCAGCTCACCGCAGGATGGATTAAAGTTTAAGTTAAATTTGGTGTTTTTCTCTTTATCCGTTTTTGGGTTATCTTCAAAATTCTAAATTTTCATTTTTACCATCTCGAATACGATCAATTTAAGGAAATCATGGATAGGACCAAAATTATAGAGAATGCATTCACAAGCAACTTTTATCATGATTCCTATACTTTCCATATCTGTATATTGAAAGGAACGTAAAAAATAGCTGTGACAGTATTTTCTTAGGCAACCCATTTGTGGTATATTTATAAACATATTTCATTAAATAAAAAAAAACTTCCATTCATTAAACAGATGGGTGAAGGTCGACACAATACTATAATACACAAAATATTTGAAATATATAGAAGACTAATAAATTCCTGAAACAAAAAAAAAAAAAAAAAAAAAAAAACAGGCTTCGAATCCTAGACCAGACCATGTGGATTTTTAATTAAATTGCATGGTTCGGTATAGGATTTGATGTGTGCCGTATTAATAGAAATTCAATTTCTGTTGATATGACATGCATATTATAAAAATCGCCATGCATTACCGTCTCGATGATGGTGGGTGAGGTTTTCCTCACCTGTAAGTCAAATGGCACCATCAATCATCTTTAAGTCGCCCCGGGGCGCCACGGCAAATAATAATAATAGCCGTCCCTTTCCCCGCACAAGCTCAGCTTTTGGGGTTAAAATTCACTCGTAAGGGGGTGAATTAGGGAGAGTATTATTATTGTATTATTACATAAACCCAGCACTTGTACAGTTTATACAAAACTATAGATAATGAGGATAAAAAGCTCTTTTAACTTAAAAAGTATTTATATTTGAAATATAATCAAAATTTATTTAGGTACAATGACTGGTATTTTTCTAATTAAATAAATAATATATATTTTAGAATACATAAAAATATTTATATATTGGGATCGATTTCGAGTATCATTTCTTACTATTTATACTTGTTTATATAATAATGAACAATTTAAAAACCTGTTTTCATACATGCGATCTGTAAATTGACAATTAAAAATACAAATTTGGTATCGATTTTCTTTTAAAAAACTTACATAATTTTATTTAATGAGGTGTAAGCATAATTTATTTTATTTACAAATTAATAAATAAATGGAATGTATACTTAATACAGTCCTAAACAATTAAGTATATAAAAAATTAAATATATATTTACATATCTACAGTTGGATTATTAATAGATGAAATTTCTTTGGCACGCTGTATTCCTTTATACTCTTTATGTTTGTCTTGTATCTCAACATAATGCTGCAACAACTTTCGAAAATCCACACTACTCACTAGAGAAGTTTTCTTTTTAATTATTTTGTTATCTTCATAGGGCAGCTGTAGACTTGGTATGCAACTTAACCTCGTTCTTAGTGTAGTAAATGCCTCAGTTTGAGGCAAAAGCATCAATAAACCATATAATGCTCTTATCAAATTTTTATTAGATGGTATTTCCAGTAATTCTAATCTTAGGTAGGCAAAAATTGGCGATTCGATTAGCTGAACTAATTTATCAATTTCTATTAAAAAATCAACTGTAACTTCCAAGTTACCAAACAGCTGTATCAAATCACATACATGGTTATAACTTTGGGTGAGTAAACATAGTGAAACAGTTGCAACTGGATTGTGACACCACGTTTCATATAAACAGATAAATAAAGATTTACTTTCCTCTGATAGGAGCTCTTTTAAATTATTCCTCATGTCGTACAGCTCAGATGAAGTTAACAGTATCATATTCAGATGTTCAACCATAAGACTGGCAAATTTGAGATTCATCTCTTTTTTAAGTATCTCTGCTAAAGTTCTGTATATTTTTTCAGCGTTAAGTAACACACACAGCTGTCTAATAATAAATGAACCCCTTTCATCCAACAATCTATTATTTTCTCTAAATGAACTTAATAAATTAATAATAAATTTTTGATAGTAAAGATCTCCATTTTTATTGCTATCAGGTGAAGAAATAACCTCAGCCATTACAACTAGACATTGTTGAACAACTTGATCTGACTCATCAACTAGGGTAGTTTGTAATAAGGCAGGGAAAAGTACATCAATATATTCTCCCATCTTGGTCGGTAACTTGGTATACAAATCATGGATCCATTTAAGTACAGCTACCTTGGTCTGTATTGAATTATGTATTAAATATTGACTTAAAACATTTACGACAGAATGTAAATCTAATTCAGTAGGCACATGTTCATCTGAATCATTTTTAATAGAAATAAGTTTCATTAAACTATAATTTACAGCTGTAGCAGTTTCTTTTATATTTCTCTGAGCATCTGTCTCATAAGATAAACATGGTAACACGGCTGTAAATATCCCAGACATAAATGGTAACATAGCAGAACCTGATAACTGAACAAACTCTTTAATCCAAGTTATAGCTGAGAACTGCACCAAATCGTCTCCCTTTTCTTGAGCATGATTGATAAGAATGTTGATAGTAGCTCCAAAATTAACTTTTGAAGGGTCTGTTTTAATCTTCCTTAAAAACTCTCCTAGGATAGTTTCACACATTTTCTTGACCTCAAAATTTGGATCATCTAGAATTCTGAATAATCCATCCAAAATTTCTGGTAAGTACTTAATAAGGTCCAAGTCTGGTTCCGAATTCAGAACAGATATCCATGATATGATAAATTGTCTTGAGAATGCATTTTTTGTGTAGATGCGTTCCCTAAGTAAAGGAATGAAGCCATCCAAATCGAATTCTGTATTTTCAAGGATGATTTCCTTTAAAAGTCTGTCAAGTAGTTCAGACGCATTTTTAACATTGTGATCTGGATCCGTTGCAATTTTGCTAAGCGAGTTAAATATAGCTGGAAAATGTCGTAAAACGGAACCTCTCGATACTTTAACAACATTGTACAATGATTCACAAGCATAATATCTGACTCTTAAATCTTGATCAGCCATACACCCGAGGATAGGTTTAACCAACTCATCAGCATACATTTCTGTATCTTTTCCCAAAGCTATGGCTATAGCAGCAAGGCCTATTAATCCACCTTTCCTGGCATGTGGATTCTGCGATAAAGCGAAATCTTGTCCCAATACTTTTAACAACTTTTTAATTTGTCCAGTATTATTCACTGCTGCAAACTCTTTAACCATTTTTTCTATTTCTAGGGCAGCTGTTTTTCTTCTATCGTAGAGTTTTTCGTGTAAAGCACGAACACACGCTGAACTAAGAGGGGCATAGTCTTTTTCAGACATTTAAACTACGGTTTAATAATAAATATAACAACTACAGAAGAAAGTAGGAAGAAACAAAACATAACCTTAAAAGAACGATACCTAACCTAAAAAAATGTATCGTCATCGAGAACGCGATTCAAAGCAAACCAAAGGCCAGTGGAAGTAGGGTTGCCACCTGCATTGGGATTCTCATCTTTCAATACGGCACGTATTGAGACGACTATCTTTGTTTCACAGAATGCGATTTGTATGTAATGTCTCTCTCTATTTCATTCGTTTTGAGTACATACATTTGCTGCGTTTGAGAATCCACATCGGATGCATTTTTTACATCTCGAGCGTTTTTTTATCCACATCGGACACATCTACTACATCTACATCTGCGTTTTTTTATCCCAGATGTACCTGTTCAGATTACATTTTTTACATCTCGATTTGAAATGAGATGTGAATGAGATGTTTGTTCCATGCTAGAAAGTAAGTGTTCTGTGAAGCCTTGTTTGTCAATTTTTCCTTTGTTTATGCTAGCATGAATATAAAAGTGATTAGTTTGCTTAATTTTTGTTTATATTTCAAATTTAGGTTGATTTGTAGTCTCAAAAGTCAAATTTAATAAGTATAAACTTCTAACTTGTCATTGACATTTGTCACGTGACCAAATAAAGTCTAGAGCGTTTGTTTATTACATCTACATTCAGATCTAATTCTCTATCACGTGATAAAAAATTCACAACATCTCAGATGCATCCGATGTGGATTCTCAAACGCGGCAATAAATATCCCTGTCCAGCAGGGTTATTCCACAGCTTATACAATACAGCTAAAACACTCTCTTGGCGGCAACGGTTTGCGTCGATTTCGTCGCGCATCGCTTAAGCTCCGCCTTCGAAGGGAAAAGACGGTTTTGGCGTTCAGAAGTGTACTTAGGTAAGGTGTTGAGTCGTGCGTATAATTTCGTTGATTGTATAATTTCGTGGAGCCTATAATTTCGTAGATTTTGTTTGAGTTAAAGGTACTGTTATTATTTTGGTAACTCTTTAGCTGTGAGTAGAATGATTGAAAAAAAAGACATCATTCTGTTTGTGCAGTCAAAAGCTGTTTTAATAAGGGTTATACCTGCAAGAAAACATTCTTTAGTTTTCCCAAGGACCCAAACCGATAAGTACCACATTATAAGAAATTTTCATTGTTAAAAATATAATTTATACAGGGTGTCCCATTAGTGCGTTATTGTTCATTATTTTGTTGTAGACACGCAAGAAAGTTTTAAATAAAAGTTATATGGATTTGAAAAATACCTACATATTTTAAAAATATCTTTGGATATACAGGGTGTCACGTTTTTGCCTGGCAAATTAAAATGTATGTTTTTTAAATGGAACACCTTGTATTTTATTTTATGATGAAATTATTAACACCCTAAATTATTGTAAAGACGAATTGCTACAGAAAATTTTTATCAGGTATGTGTGTGGTTACCTTTTAATAAAGGCCTTGCGGATCCACTCCTGCGATACCTGTCTTAAATATAACAAAGATCACGTTGAAATAGATGATTTTTCTTTTTATTGCTTTTTAAAGGCATATGATAACGCCAATTCAGATACATTTGGAAATCTGCAACTGTCAAATGATGAATTTGTAGAACTAATATTCAATATTGAAAAGATATTTCAAAATAATTTTGAAGAATTGGCTACAAAAAATAACATTTGTACCACACTTTTAGAATTAATTAACCCAATACCCTTTAGTCATCCATGCTAACGTTTTCCAAAAGAATAACTTATTTTATTGTATGTTTAATCTCAATAACTAAAAAATATACTGACAATATTAGTTTGACAGAATTGTCATTTATTTAAAATTTTAAAAATAATAGCAGTCGGTTGATCAAAATATGAACGGTGATTGGCGAATTTATTTTTTTTGCAGTGTTCTCACTACCTAGAATGGATATGAAATATATTCGTTCAATTGAAGGCAATAGCATACTTTTTCGTTTTGTAATCTGTGCATGGATATTAGCCAATCTACGCACATACTACAAAACGAAAAAGTATGTTATTGTGTTCAACTACGAATATATTTCATATCCATTTTAGGTAGTAAGAACACTTTAACAAAATTAAATCTACAAATCACAGTTCATATTTTGGTCACCCAACTCCTATTATTTAAAAATTTTTAAATAAGTGACAATTCTGTTAAACTAATTGTCAATATATATTTTAGTTATTGATATTATACATTAAAATTTTTGTGCAGACTCGATAAATAATAGCATTTTTGTTTCTATTGTGTCCACATTTAAAAAAAAAATAAATTTTAATTAAACTACATGATACTAATTTAATTACGAGTATTAAAACTAAAGTCCTGAAAGTTTCGGTGAAGATGAAGACAGAGCATCTGCCTTCCACGCGAAAAGTCCGGGATCGAATCTAGGCCGAGGACTAATTAATTTTTCATGTTTATTTTATTTTATAAATTAGTCAACTTCGTAAATTATTTTAAAATTAGTTATTTTGTCTAAATAACCTAAAATAATTTTTTAAATTTGTAGATTTTTGTTAGTGGGTCGTAGAAAAAATATACTGACCATATCGAGTAGATTGTTCATATCACAATCAGACGATTGAGTTCTCCGCCTACGACGTCGTGCTCAAACTTCGTCTTTGTGTGATATGGCTATCATATCCACCCTTGTTGAACAAACTACAATTTATTTGTTTTCTTGGTTTAAGTTTTACATCAGAAATAGGAATTAAATTAATTTACTTTTCAAGTTTTCTTGTAAAAATTACTTTCTCCAAGTACAAATTTAGTACCTACCTAAAATAAGTACTAATTATGTTATATCTTGTAATATTGTAATTCAAATTTCACATTACTATAAAGTTTTAAAATTTCCTACTTCGGTATGGTCAGATAAAAATTGAATATATTATATTAATAAAAACTGTCAAAGTATAACTTCTACAAATCTGTATTTCAAATAATAAGAATACATCTAAATATAACCAATATTGTTAAAACAAAAGCACACATTCTTTATAATTCCAAAATACCATAGAGTTCCCAGACCTCAGTCGAAGCATTCGTTTATCTAGGTATAAACCCTTTGCGCGAAGAGTAACACTTGCCAGAGACACGGGGGTACCACTTGATTTGCATCCACGAGCGTGACACAATTCTTTAACAATTGAAGCCCTTGGTGTAAAATGGATCCAAGCCACAATTTGTCGTGAAGTGACTGTTTTAGCTCAAAACATTTGTTAACGAGGATTTTACTAGCCATATATAAATTATTTTACCTCTAATCCGAAAGATGTGCTATTTTTCGTAATATTTATATTTAAATAATTTTTTTAATTATATTTGAAAGATTTAAAACAAATTAAAAATGTAATTTCCCAAAACTTACTTAATATGGCATGTGACCAACCTTATTACGCCAAGGTTTTCGATTTTTTCAATAATAAAAAAATTGTTTAATCCGGGCCCGACTTTTCCCTTGAATCTAACAGAGATAGCACCATTCCGTCTTGCTTGGTTCTCGACCGCCAGATCAAAGACGCCGACACGGAGTTGTGGAGCTGTATTGTATAAGCTGTGGTTATTCTACTAAATTTATAGCCCGGCTACAAGTTGGATTTTGGCTTGAACTTTATATGTTCCTAACTTCAAAATCCAACTTGTAGCCGGGCTATAAACTTTTAGCCGGGCTATAAATTTAGTAGAATAACCCTGCAGGTCCTTTTTTGAAGAAGAATGTCCTTGCGACTTTTTACAACTGTCTTTTTTTACGGCAAATGCCTTTTTTTACAGCACATATTTTTTTTTTGGAAGGGACATGGTTTGCTCAAAAAATAAGCTGAACTTTTTTTTTGGGAGAATGACGAGGATTTTTTTATTACAAGCTTGGCGACTTTTTATAAATAAAATATTAGGTACTCGTTTCGTTTCCGAAATTAAAAAATTATTAATGGGTATAATTTTTTTATTTCTTAGTATAATTTTACTAAATTTTTGCAAACATTTTTAGGGCCGATTCCACCGTTATGTTAAACGGAGATTAAAATGACATTGTTAATGTAAAAATGTCATTTTAAACTACGTTTAACACAACGGTGGAATCGGTCCTAAGTGTCATAAGATACCTACAGCTATCAGTAAAAAATCAGTTAAATAAAATTTGCCTGTGGCGTACGATATGGATAAGTATAAGAGCCGATTCCACCGTTGTGTTAAACGGAGATTAAAATGACATTGTTAATGTAAAAATGTCATTTTAAACTTCGTTTAACACAACGGTGGAATTGGTCTAACACACCTTTATACCCTCTAAATTTTACGCCACTGTCCAAAAACTTATTTAGACTAGAAGTTAAATTTTTTGAATTAAATCATGCATGTACTCTTTTGGGAACTCATAAAGTGATTGGTTTTCGAAGTGGATATATATTTTCCATTTTAATTTTGTAATTTTGTATTTTTTTTTATAAATTTCCAAATTCCCTATGCTTCGTGTTTCTGACTCTTTAGAAACCTCTATCTCGTTGTGTAAAAAAGTATACCGGGAATTTAAAATTTTAAATAAGTCCGAAAAATTCGGTTTCTAAGTCGGACAAATAGATTTTTTCGAGTTCTAAGTCAGAACAATCCATTTTTTCGAGTTCTAAGTCGGAAAATAAAAAAATACTTATTTTGTGGTAGTGATTGATATGGGACAATTGGGACTTTTCATGAAAAGTAATTTTTGGATTAGCCGACAGACATGTCCGGAAAAGTAGTGAAAAGTCACAATGAAAAGTAGTAGGTATAAAAGACACACAGTTAAATTTCCATCCTATATTTTTTTTTTCAAAAACACTAGGAACAATATGTGCATTTGTATTTTCGTTTTTTTAGGATCGTTAAAACATAAAAGTCAGTAATCATTTGTCGTTTCTTCTTTTTTAAACCATATTTTGTCCGTCTGTGGACTTTTCTAAGCGATCCATCACTATTTTGTGCCCCTTCTACACTTCCGTAAATTTTAATTCTTTTGTACTGGTAAAAATATGAGCGCTTTTTCACGTTTATTTTAGACATACATAAGTATTTTTAACATTTATTTCTTTTGTTTACAAAGAAATATCGTTGCAGAAAAGGTGAACAAAAAAATTCAATTCTTATTTTAACAATATATTTTAAAATAAATAAAAATACTGTTTGAAATGAATAATACTACAGCTGACTTTCGTTATGAGTTTTCTTCATATGTTGCTTAACATACGATTTGTCATTGAATTTCTTATTGCAAATACTGCAAAAAAATGGTTTTTCCCCAGAATGTGTGTACAAGTGCCTTGTGAGTTTATTCCTTGCATAGTAGGCCTTCGGACATATGTGACAAATATATTTTCTTTCCTTAGTAGGTAGTTTTATTTCACCAATGCCAATTCCTAAAATAACATTATTTTAAACTACTCAAACATCTGCCTGTAAAGACAAAATAGTTATATTTATGTACTAGGTGCGTTATTAAGATGTTAAAGCCCGGAAGTCGACAGGATACATCCAGAGGGTTTTGCTTCGAGGGATGGCTGTCGCATACAAGATTTTATTTTTCACTAAATTAGTTTTTTCTTTTGTAATACATTTTTTCTAATAGGTAGGTAGTCGATAACAGACATGGGGTAGTTGTTAATACATATTTTGATTTTAAAAATAAACATACAACAATAAATAGGTAAATAATAATTAACGGGCAATAGAATCTTTAACATCCATTGGCATTATGAATGTGTTTTTGGTAACCGAATCCAAAACATAATAAGCAAGTAGAAAATAAATTGGTTACCATAGTAACATTGTTTTATTTGGGAACAAATTATATATTGTCACGTTATATATAAATCCATATTTTTTAAATTGATCATAATTAAGTCCAATCCACGTACCCGAAGTTTAGCGGTTCTATATATCGACATCTCCTGGGGCGGGGGAGAAGTTGGGCGGTTTGAAGGCCCCGTATTAATTTTTTTCTATTCCTTACCATTAAGGCGTGGCAGAGAAAGGGGAGGTGGGGGAAGAAGTATTTTTTTTTTGTTTTTTTGCGATCCTCTATGTAATATCCATTTCGGTTCGAAATTAAAGGGTGCTCATGTTCGTTATAGGCTAATATTATTAGTCAATCATAATTCACAATTGTGGATCACTGGATTTCATATATCGAAGGTTTGGAAAAAATACTATTTCCAATATTGTTTTATTGATAACACTAAATAAGCTCGTCAATAGCTACTAAATAAAAATATAAAAAATATAAAAAAGAAAATCGGTTCACAAACAGAAAAGAAAATGGTACTGAACTATTTGGTCTTTGCCTATTTATAGATAAGGTAATATCGGGGAAACGCACGGTTAGGTTTCTACCTGGTTAGGTTTCTACCTGGGTGAATTCTCAAGGGTAATATACCAAGACCTTGATAATAGTCAGCTATTTTTGTTGAATCTAAATTTCGAGAATATTTTAATATCAATTTTAGGCATTAATAATCTGATTAGAGCCCGAGAGCTTTAGCTCGAGGGCTTTAATCAATTGATTGTTAATGCCAAAATTATGTAGAATAAAATTGTAAAATATTCGAGAAATTTAGCAATAACAAAAATAGCAGAATGTTAATCAAGGTCGTGTTATATTTAGAAAGACTATTTCACTAGACCAAATATCGACTATTTCTGTAGATAAATAGTCTCTTATACAGACTCTCCTGGGAGGCATTCTCTGGAGCGACTCCAGATCGAGGAGACTCCGGCTGCAGGTTTTGGATCTTGATCGCGGAAGGTTGAATATAGCTTTTAACGTTTAGTGAAGAGTCGCGACATGTGCCAACCATGTCATAATTTGGGGGTTTAATAATAAAAAAAAGGACTAAATACGTCCCAGGGGGTAACCAATAAATGAAATAAATATATAACTCCGGGCCTCAAGGGTGTAAGCACTCTATTACTATAAACTGTATCATAACTGTATAAGGGTTCTGCTATTGGTATTAGAATTTAAGTCGTCTCTATAAAGCGTCAGAAGGGCACATAGTGAAGTTTTTTTCGCATCAAATTGCAATATGCTTTCATTTGAATATATTATTTAGACCGCAAAATTCATACTGCGTAAAATCCTGGTGGCAATGACTAGTTTCTGATCGTTGTTGGAACAGACCTACAATATGTAGCGACATACTTGCACTACATATCTTTTTCATTTTCATTTTCATTACGTCATACACATTAAATTGCCGTCATCATTTAGATAACCTTTCGTGGCAGTTCTAGCGAAGACAAAAGGTTGAACTCATCGCGAGGAAAACAAAATGTTGTTTATAATAATTATGACTTTAGATTTTACAATTTTATATACATGTCATGACATACAATTTATTTTAAAATTATATTTTCATGAATACGTATTTATTTATTGATGGGATATACCACATATAAAGATCCCATACTGCCACGAAAGGTTATCTAAATGATGACGGCAATTTAATGTGTATGACGTAATGAAAATGAAAATGAAAAAGATATGTAGTGCAAGTATGTCGCTACATACCTCCCCCTTATATAAAAAATGTATTGTCAGTCATCAAAAGTCGATAAGGTGTTGACTGTTGCATAATTCTATATCTACGAGTACCTTCACCTTAATCAAAACAAAATTTTAATATGACTCTGTATATGAAATTGATTGAAATTTTTAATTTAATTGTCAAAAATATGTCATCAGTAATGTCAGTATTTTCTATAAATAATGTTGTATTTTAGATCGTGTTCTGGATGAATTATCCATTCTTTGATTATCGAAATTGCCCCGTTGTTAAGTGTTTAGTAATTCTATGTTATCTAGCAGGTTCTTTCTATTATATAAAGAATACTGCCATTGATACAATTAAGAATTACCATACTATCAGGACAATTAGTGTCCTAAATAGAAAAACATTAACGAAAAGAAGGCATTAATAGTTAAAAAATTCTACGATCTAATAAAAAGTAATGTTAATCATGACGTACAAATAGAAATATTTTTTGTTTTTTTTTTTTTTAAGTATTTATTCTTTAAATATCAATGTGTAAATGTGCCTATTTGGTAAGTTAAAATTTCCTTTTCATTCAGTTATTTGTTTTTTATCAATGTGCAAAAAAATGTACCTATTTGATAAGTTATTTGTTTTTATTTAGTAATTACTATTATGCAGACAGGTTCTTCCTTATGCGAAGAATACTGTCAATACAAGATATAAGTAAATACTGATTTTATTGTTCTTTTGGACAATTATGGTCCTTAATAGAGTAAAAAATATTAAATATACTAGTTACATGTAGTTGGACAATTAAGGTCCTTAATAAAACTACTGGTTGTATGTTTGGACAATTACGGTTCGTAATAAAAAATGCTAATAAATATATTTGGACAATTAGGGTCCGTAATAAAAAATGCTAGTTGCATGACTTCGGTTATGTAGTGCTCATTTGCGTTTCGTTAATTTGTACGTTATTTTCTTAATTAAGTCGTCATGATTAGAATTGGTCATTTGTAGAGTTTACCAAATAAATAGTCGGTTAAAATGCTTTTTACATGGTCAAAAATATGAAAATAATGTCAAAAATGATAACTAATGATAGAAAAAATTAATATTTTCAATTCGTGGCAGTCAGCGACAAAAAGATTAAACTCACCGGGTTTAATGTATCTGGAGTCCAATCCACGTATCTTGTTCGGAACTTTTCGGAATTTTCCGAAGGCGTACTGGATCTACATTTCTTCTTAGTAGGGCCCGTTAAAGAATCCGGGTTATCGGGAACCGCAGCAGGCTCAAAAAACCGAGGTACGGCCAAAAATAAAGCCGTCGCTAACGCGTACTACCCATAAGTATCTCACCAACAAATAGTATCAGATAGATGTATCCTCAAAATCTTTGAAGGTCGGGCATTCTACGGGGTCACCAATTGTGGGATCTTTATAAGGTGTATATCCCATCAATAAATAAATAAATATGAATTCATGAAAATATAATTTTAAAATAAATTGTATGTCATGACATGTATATAAAATTGTAAAATCTAAAGTCATAATTATTATAAACAATATTTTGTTTCCCTCGCGATGAGTTCAACCTTTTGTCTTCGCTAGAACTGCCACGAAAGGTTATCTAAATGATGACGGCAATTTAATGTGTATGACGTAATGAAAATGAAAAAGATATGTAGTGCAAGTATGTCGCTACACAATAACACTGAAATAAACCAATTCTTGTTTATAGATCCATGCTATTACAGTTTGAGTCGTTCCAACTTTACGTTTTCTTGAGTTTTAATTTAAAAATAAACTCCAAATTGAATGATTTTGTTTTGACACTCTGTCAACAGTTGTCATGACAACGCTTTTGTTTTCTGTACTCAATAAAGCGTATTAGATTTCGTTTACTTTTTGTTTTTAGCTTGATTTGTTAAAAAGTTATAATAAGTTAAATTATATCCCTTACTTTATGATAACCCCATATATAAGTTTGTTCCGTTCCATAGAGACACGTAAATTTGTTCTTTGTTCAGGGTGAAAAAAATACTCTTTTTTGTTACTCTGGAAGAAACTGCAATATGGACAGTTCTGACGAAGAACTATTTTTATTTCAAATTTTGTTTGATGAAGAAAGAGAACCCAGAAGAACAAAAGACACGGCGCCAGAGAAACCATAAGTTCTAGGTGCATAATATACATAAGAAAAGATACATTGAAGCAGAGTTCCACGATCTGTTTCCTGAAAAAATGCCCAGTAAATTTTTTTTCGTACTTTCGTATGTCCTATGAAAAATTTAAAGAATTACTCAGTTTACTGCACGAGGATTTATTAAAACAAACAACTTGTTTTCGAATGCTTCATTAATTTTGCAAATGTATTACCAGCTAATTAGTATTGCTCAATATTCAAATTATGCCACTAAATAACCGTCAACATGCGTGCGTACTGCGTCTACTAAAGCAGACGGGTCGGGACTCGTCGCAGTATCGGCATAAATGCGCCTGGCGACCAATTCAATAGCCCGTTCCGTCGCACCCCATGCAAATCCGTAAACAATATTTGTTGACGTAGTTCCATTTAAATCTAGGGTAGGCGGATTTTTGCAATGTGATCCGACCCGGCCCATCCGCCTAGTTGACGCGTACCTTAATTATGAAATTGTATTAGGGTGATGAATGGGACTGTATTACATTATTATTGTTTTTTCTGATCCTATGCATACAGGGTAGCGAATAAGTCTGGTAACAAGGTATTTGAAGTTAATGAATGGGACTGTAGTACATTAGTAATATGGTGGAAAAATAAGCTTTTCTCTGATATAACCTCGACCTACGTTACCATTTAAAAAAATTCAATATGGTGGCGGTATGCTAAACGTCACATAAAATTGATAAAATTTAGAATACAATCCAATTCCTCACCCTACAATTTCATAATTTCAGGGGTTAGAATACAAGTACCTCTTTCTCCGAAAATCAATTGCGAAAACTAGATATAAATATGTGTTGGAATACAAAGGATCCAAATTAATTTGTTAATTTATTTTGTACTAAAAAAAGGCATGTGAATAGCATTGTAGTTATCTTTGGAATACAAAGAGTATCAGTTTACGTGTTAATTATGTGTTTATGTATATTTATTATACTCTTTACATAGTAGTTTGTGAAGAGTATTATAGTTTTATTTTCGCGAAACCAAAATTTTTAATAATGATCCAAATTTAAAATTTTTTGTAACAAAATCCTTCTCATCATATTTAAACAACTTTTAAAAATGTCAGGATATTACACTGTTTTGTCCGCACGGTTAGTCAAAAATGAAAAATGACATCGACGAAATTTTCAAGAAAAATCTCTCTATTAGGGCACGAAATCTATTGATTTTGAAAAAATCTGGATAAAAATGAGGCGGTTAAAACGAAAAATAATATGAATTTGAAATTTTCAGGAAAAATCAGGCTTTATAAGGGGACGAAGCCTATGAATTAAAATGGGGATTGAAATTAAAAAAAAACATAAATCAAAAACGAAAAGCTATATCAACATAAAATTTTTAGTAAAAATCAAGCTCTATAAGGAAATAAAACCTATTTTGAAAAAAAAACTGAATAAAATAGGGGTTAAGGGGGTTGAAATATTAAATATATTTAATATTAAAAAAATTCAAACTCAAAAACGAAAAATGATATCAACTAGAAAATTTTTAGCAAAAATCAAGCTCTATAAGAGAACGAAAAGCCTATAAATTTCGAAAAAATCTAAATAAAACTCACAAGCCGAGAGCCCCAATAATGCAACAGTTTTAACTTCTAGGGTTGCGCAGGAAACAGATTCAGACTGCGATATGGATAGTAACATGATTATCGACTCTGATTATAAAAATATGTAATAAAATGTTTGTCAATGAAACTAAACAACCTATAGTGTTTTTTGGAGTTTAATTTCTTCTGAAATATGTCGAGATACAAAGGATATAAGTAAATTTTTCAATTTTTTTATTTGTGAAAAAAATTTAAATTTTCATCTTACTTACGATACTTACAAGTAGAGTTCCCTGAACAAACCTTCCCCCACAAAAATTACAAACTTACCTTATTTGCGGATTTTTTGTGGCTAAAGTCAATTTACTCGAAATAGTTTAATTGGTACTTACACCCTTTATATTCTAATACCTTATTCAATTATACATTCATTTGATTCAACGAAAATACATCTTTGCCAGACTTTTTCGATACCCTATATAATAAAAATAAGTATACAAAATAGGCCACAGTCCGACATACACAAATATGGACTCAAAACTATATCAAATCTAAGTCTAATAGGACGTGTCCCACATTTTTCGAAAATTGCGTTTTTGATATTATTAGGTTGATTATAATTGTTCTCATAATATTCTAACGCATCGTAATTTTATGTATGTATAATTATTTTAGATAATTTACGATAAATTTGGAAAAATATGAATTTATACAGGGTATCCCAAAAAAGTAGGCCAATCCGTTAACCCATAGATTCTTTACGTCAGTATGTATGAAACCTCTATTATTTTTTTTTTGTTGGGACCAAAATTTGTTAAAGGTAATAAACCCCTTGTAACTAGCGCCTTCTAGAAGGTAGGTGATATTGAGGTTCAAATTATGATTTGTCGACCTAAAAAACCCGGATGTACAAATTTTAAGCCATCTACTTAATAAAACGACGAAAATATAATGAAAAACTTATTTTTTTAAACTAAACTTTGTCGCCCTGTAAATTAAACGTGATGGCTCCAATAAAAAAAAAATGAATAGAGGTTTCTTACACTGACCTAAGGAATATATTGGTTAATGGATTGGCCTACTTTTTTGGGACACCCTGTATAAAGCGTGACAATATTAACAATTTTATTTTAAAGTTATATTACTACCATAAGAACTTTGGCCATAAAAAAAGAATATAAAAATCTACTGGTAGTACATTTGATACAAAATATCAGTGTAAGTATTTTTTGTTAATAGCATACCATGAATTTTTGCCATATGGATTTGCATGACCCTCTTCTCTTTATACTCCTTATCGCATTCACTGCATCTAAACTCTCGCACGTTTGAATGAGTGCGCATGTGCCTCTGCAATACACATTTGTCCGTAAATTTTTTGTAGCACAGATGACATTCGAAGTTTTTCTCGCCGGTGTGTCGTCGCATATGCCCGTCATAATTCGATTTTATAGGAAATTTTTTGTTGCAGTATGGGCACAAGTATTTCCAAAGTTCTGGATCAGTGTGGACGACTAATTTGTGAGATCTAGAAATTAAGAATTGGAGAAAATGGATTGAACCAACTTAATTTGCAATATAAACTGAACCAACTAAAATATACTACCTTAAATCTTTATGAGTATTGAAGCTTTTCAAACAAATTTCACAGGAATATTCTCTCATATTGAGGTGTTGTTTTTCATGAATTTTCAGATCAGTCTTTGTTATAAAACCTTTGCCACAGTACGAACAAACGTTCGAACGCACAGCTTCATGATATTTAATATGCTGGAGTAAATTAGATGAATTCGCAAATCGACTTGTACATTTTGTACAAACAAATGGACGTACCTCTTTGGAAGTCATACCATGTTCGCTAACGCAGTGTTTTACCAGATGTTTGCTCGAAGAGAATTTTGCTGTACATTTTTCACATTGAAATTCAAATTTTCTTTTTCTTTTTACCGGCTTTTTGGTATCTGAAACAGTTTAAATAGTAGTAAGCTACTAGGCTGTGATGGACTTAGATAAGAGAGAGCAACTTCGACTATCTCCTACAGTAAGTTCCAGCTATCGCCACAGATTACAACAGATCCAGAATATCTTAGCTCAATGCATATAAAACATTAACGTGGGATGTCGTCAAACAGTATTGTGTTATTTTTATCTACGATTATTTTAAAACATAACTTTTGCCTACAGTACTTTTATATTATGTTTGACCAATGCTTGATCGGGGTTATTTTCGCCCTAGGAAAGATTTGGTACATCATAGTAATGGACCTATCCCCTTATTATGTATTCGCAAATCCTACTTCCTCTTAAAGTCACCAAAAACGTGTTGTTTCACACCCTGAGTCAATGTCTTTTTGCGTTTGATAGTGAGTGTGTGTGTTTATAATTTGATTTGACTTTTATTATAGATGTGACAAAAATCCGTGCAAAAAATACACCTACAAAGACTTGATGAAAATTATTTAGAGCAACGATATGACAGGGGGTAATAATCGTAGCCAACCCAATATTTGTAGTTAGGGTGAGGATAAGAGAGAGAAAAAAAAAATAAGTTGTTTGAAAAATTATTAGTTTCAAAAATCCCGCACTTCGCACATAAATAATTCGAAATAGTCGAATAACGGGAAAATTGTATAGGCTAGTGCTGCAATAGCTCAAGGATTATACAGGGTGAATCCTAAGTTGATACTTTTTTAACTGATAAAAGTTGTTAAAATAAACATCTTTTTTAAATTACTTTTTGAAAAAACCTAAAAATAAGATACAGAATTGAAAGTCTAAATCTGGGCCTAGACTTGTGTATGAAAAGTTAAGCTAAATAAGTATGTTGTAAGGTGTTTTCTTGCCTCAAAGAAAATATTACTCACACCTTCGACGCTTTCGGTCCGAAAATTACCAATTACCAATATTAACTAAAATATTGATTTTAAAAATTTTATATTTATTTCCTACATCATTTATTTATGAAGGCGATAAATAAAAATCAATTATTCGGTTTTAAATGGAAATCTTTAAAAACGGCCATTTCCAAAAAAAATGCGAAACAAGTTTTTGTTTTCGAAATTCAGGTACCTATTTTCTATCTTATTTATGTTATGTTGGGAATGGCGTGTTAATACACTGCAACCTAAAAAATCTATTATGCCCTCGTCTGTCGCCAATGCACCAAGGAAATGTCTCAATGCCTATAACGACCCTTCCAATCCTGTTTTCTCAAGGAAGTGTAAGATTTGAAATGGCTCCAAGTTAGGTAAATCTCCCTCTTCTATTTGATATCCTCCTAGACATAGTGCCCTTGGATTCTGGAGTGCTACACATTCAGTTAGGATGTGAATGGAGGTTTCGTCCTCCTCCTCACAGAATCTGCACTCACTATCCTCTACTACTCTCAGTTTACTTAGGTGTCCTTGTAGTCGGTAATGCCCGGTAAGGATCCCTGTTACAATACGTAGCCTGTTCTTGCTCAGGCAAATGCAGGGTTCCGATCTTTTCTGGTTATATTCACCCAGAAGTATCTTGGCCTGTCTCAGTCCCAAGAAATTGTTCCAATTATCGGTTCTTCTACTGCCCAATTCTTTTTTAATCTCTTACTACTGATACCGCAGAATGGCTCAGGTCCTACAAAGGGTGTTTGAGTCCCTTTCCTTGCAAGACTATCTGCAATCTCGTTACCCTGTACCTCGTTATGTCCCGGGACCCAAGTGAGAGTAACTCTATTTTTCTCGCCTAGCTCATTTAATTGTTCTAGGCATCTCCAGACCATTTTTGAGCTGATTACGTAAGAGCTCTTGTCTAAGATAGTTTCTCTCGATGTTGAACTGGATACACTTCTCGATGGCGTGAATTTCCGCCTGGAAGATGCTTGGGTATTTTCCCAAGCTTTCGGAGTGCTTGGTTCTCGGCCCATACACTCCTATTCCAGTTCCTTCTATGGTTTTGGAACCGTCCGTATACCACTGAATAGCACGTCTTTCGGTTGCAAGCGCGATGGATTCTTGGCTCCATTCTTTCTTGCAGCCCAGCTGTGGTTTTGATTTTTTTCACAAAACTGTACTTCTTTAGCATTTCATCCTGGGGCATGTCCCAGGTATCTTTAGTCCTGAAGCAAGTATACTTTCGCCTGATTACTCCATTCCTAATTATTCTATATCGTGTCCTTTTTGCCACATTTTCTATCATCAAATGTAGAGGGTTGAGGTTTAAAATCACCTCCATTGCGGCCGTAGGACAGGTTCTCATTGCACCAGTAATGCAAACACAGGCTAGTCTTTGTACTTTTGAGATATTAGTTCTCGTAGTAGCTAAACTAGTTCTGTTACTCCAGGCTATAGCCCCATAAGTGATGATATTGCAGTATACATCCATCTCAGTATGTTTGGGTTACATTCCCATCGTTTGCCTGCAATGTTTCTGCATACCATTAGGGCTTTTGTGGACTTATTTACTACTTCCTTGTCATGTGTGTTCCAGAGAAGTTTGTTGTTCAGGGTTAGCCCTATATATTTGACTTCATTTTTCCATTCTATATCTATCCCGTCTAATTTAACGGTTTTGAGATTAAGTTTTCTTTTTCTTGAAAATGCTACTAGTGTTGTTTTTGTAGGGTTTAGTCCCACTTCACGGCACCATCTTTTGGTATGTTCTAGTCCTCGTTGGAATATATCACACAGGATATTACTAAACTTGCCACTAGCAAATATGACTATGTCGTCGGCATAACCTTGACAGGGTATGCCGAGGTCAGTCAATCTGCATAGAAGTTCGTCTACGATTAGGCTCCACGTTAGTGGGGATAGAACTCCTCCTTATGGACATCCTCTGGCAGATGGAGATTGTGTCCTGTCCTAACTGTGTCTCTGCAGTTCTCGTAGATAACAGCTGAGCCATCCATCTGGATGTGATGTTATCTATTCCTCTGTATGCAAGTGCTCTTTTTACAGATTCGTGTGGCGTGTTGTCAAAAGCTCCTTCTATGTCTAGGAAGGCACACACGACTGTTTCTTTGCTAGTCAGTGCATCCTGAATTACGTCAGTCAACTGTACCAGGGCAGTTTCTGTAGATCTTCCTGCTCGGTACGCTTGTTGGCTGTGGTGAAGAGGCACCCTCTCCAGGACTTCCGTTCTGATATAATTATCAACAGCATTCTCCATTGTTTTTAATACAAATGATGTGAGGCTGATCGGTCGGAAGGATTTAGGATGTGTGGTATCCTTTTTCCCTACTTTTGGAATAAAGGTGACTCTGGCCCTTCTTCATGCTTCTGGTATATATCCCAGCTCCAGACTGCTCCGGGATAGCCGGATTATATGTGGTAGTAATTCCTTCTGTGCCTGCTGAAGCAGGGCAGGAAATATTCCATCCACATCTGGAGACTTAAACGGTTCAAAAGTGTTTACGGCCCACTTTAACCGATTTCTGCTGCATATGTGTTTGGCCACTACAGCAGCCTCTCTTGGGGGCATGCTTACCTTAGTTGTGTCCCTTATTAGAAAAGGGGTGCTTCCAGGAAAGTGAGTTTCGAGTAAGAAGCGAGCTCTTTCCTCCTTACTCTCCGTGAAGCTTCCATTTGGTTTCTTTAATGCCATAACTGTATCAACTCTCCCTTTTGCCAGGGCCCTGTGCAGTCTCGCTGCCGCTGGTATAGAGTTAATATCCTCGCAGAATTTTCTAAAGCTGTTACGTTTAGCTTTCCTGATTTCTTTGTTGTAGGTAGTAAGCGCCTCGGTGTAGCTCTGCCAATCTCCGCTGTGCTTATAGAGCTTCCTCACTTCGGATCGTAAGTTTGACAGATGACAGTTCCACCAAGGAGCATCCCTACTAGTACTATTTCTTTGAATGGGGCAGCTTGATTGATATGCCTCAAGTATTACCCCATTTAGTTCCTCGAGATCGTTTTCCAGAGCAAGTGGGTGCCCGGGCTCCTTTTTTTGTCTGGATACGTGCAAAATTTTGTTTTAGAATGGATTTGTATTTGTCCCAGTCTGTTTTTCTAGGATTCCTCCTGAGGATCGTCTCAGGAATTTCACTCTCTAACGTAAACACAATTATCTTGTGGTCAGATAGAGATGGTTCACTCGATACCCTCTAGTTTTTAACTAGATCTTTAATGCTTGGTGTGTTTAATGTGCTTAATATTTTGCACAATAAGGTTCTTATTAAAAATATATTCTAAAAGTTGCTCACCTCTTTGATTGGTGTCGTTGCTTCCCCATACGGTGCTATGCGCGTTGGCGTCGCATCCAAGAAGTAATGGCAGATGTCTTCTCTAGCAGTACTCCACTAGCCTTGATACTTTCGGGGGTGGTACATGCCCATCTCCGGCGAAGTAACTAGAAGCTATTACTATGTCTTGCCACCTCATTCCTAATTCCAGTTATGCTCGAATTGGAATGAGATCACGCGTCATGAATTCTGAAAGACAAGAATATTTAATATTACTTCTTACCATTATGCATGTTCTGGGTACTTCATCACTAGTGTGATAAATTACCATGCAAGTCCTCTTACCTGGTTTCCATAGACCCACGGTTCCTGGATCAGTACGATCCCTAATTGGTCTTTAGTAAATGTCCTGGAGATCACAGCCGATGCTCCCTTGGCGTGATGGACATTCACTTGGGCGATGTCGATGCCCGCCATTTTACTCTCCTTTAATGGGGGTGTTGTCCCCATCGGTGAGGGTGTGTTCCATATCCCCCTCTTCTGCTTCTTCATCAATTTCTAAATCCTCAGATGAGTCTACGCAGAGATTTGAGAGGTTAAGGCTCTCTATGCTCTTCACATTATAGTCTCATCTTTGGAACTACTAGGAGTTGGTTCTGTTTCTTCTCCCAGTTCCTTTGTTTCCTCTTTCTTTTGAAGGCCGTATACGGGGATTTTTCCGAATCGATAGTGGATATCCTTGATCCGTTGGCAGGATAGGCCATCTATTCCTAACCTAAGGATCTGGCCTTTGCCCTCGTCTTTTTGGCAGACGATTTTCCAGTGTGGTCGATAGCCCCACATTCGCCATATATTATCGTCTCGATGATGGTGGGTGAGGTTTTTCCGGGTTTTCCTCACCTGTAAGTCAAATGGCACCATCAATCATCCTTAAGTCGCCCCGGAGCGCCACGGCAAATAATAATAATAGCCGTCCCTTCCCCTACACAAGTCGTTCAGTCGACTTCAGGGATTGAAATTCACTCGTAAGGGGGTGAATTAGGGAGAGTATTATTATTATTATTCTGCGCTTCTATTAACTGTAGAAGCTTCTCTACAGGCTGCCCTTGACTTTTTGGGAGAAAGAGCGTGGCTGTATGTGCTTTCGGGATGTCGTCTCCCGCACATACCTCCAACTCCACTCCCTTCCAGTTGCTCAGGCGTGGGATTTTTGCCCTAAGTCATTCTGCTGACTGGGGTTTCACAGTCGATTAAGACCATTCTTGGCCGGAAGTGGATGCCTCCGAATTGGAGCTGGCTTCTTCCATCAAGGTTTGTGATGGTCTCAGGGAACTCCTTAGGTAGGATCGCGACCCGCTCCGTCTTGACGACAGTTGCATAACTGCCAGAAGCGGAGGTATCGGTCACTTTCCTTTTCTTTTCTTTCCTTTGCGGTGGTGTAGTGTTATTCCCGTCCCGCTTTCTTTTCAGATCCTTAGATTGGTTTTACTTCCCTCTCCCTGGGATTTGTGCTCCACAGCTTTCTTTTTTGCTTCTTCCGGTGTCATGCCCTGAACGAGGTAGCGAAGATACCACCGAACCCCTGCCCCACTGAGTCCATGCCTCAGTGGGTTATCCCTTCCACCAGGTTGTCCTTGAAGGTAGCTTCCGTTTGGATTCTTTTTTGAGGGAAACTTCCCTCGCCGATGAGTGGTGAGAGGGGGAGATTGTTTTCCCCACTTCTCTCTTGTGAGGTTGTCTCACTTGAGAGGTTGAGGGAGGTTGATCGTTTCGGATGGCAGGCTCCGTTTGATCAGATTTAGTGGCGGTGTAGTCCCCCCGGTTTTTATTTTCTTTTGATTTCTTGCCCATGTAAATCCCACGAACAGCTAAGGAAAGAAAAGTCGACCGACGCAGAGCCACGCATGCGCCGGCAAGGCTAGATACAAGAGGGTTTCGCCAGGTGCCCCCAGAGGAACGTTCGAAACCGCTTTCCCAGCGGCCATTCAGCCTTCAGCACGTTGCCTTACACCTTGGCTTGGGGTGTTAATGGAGTGCCATTTAGTAACGTATCCAGCGGTGCCACGAGGAGGCAGACACTCGATGATTGCATTTCTCCATTGGCATGCAGAAAGAGTTACCTACAAGCGGACAAGCAAGCAATCTAAGCTACAAAGCAATGACTAAACTACAACCAACCCCGGGTAAAAACGGGTATTGTTTCTCGGAAACGGCAAAATTAATTTGTCGTCGGAATCTCTAAGCAAGGAGTCTGTATAAATACTAAATAATTCCCAAAAGAAAACTATCCGATGCCACAAGCGCATATTAGTAGAGAACCTCGGCCAAGCGGCTGTATCTAACAAAATATTAAAAATATTAATACAGAGTGATGTGACCAATTTTCAATCGAATAATTGATGCGAATTTTCAAAACTGAATGAAAAATAGATTCATTACACTTTTTGTTTTCATTTTTTAACCTTTCTTTTTTTTCGATTTTTCTTATGACTCACGCTTCATTGTGTACGGGTTATTGTAATTCAGTCGTGTATTATTTCAGTAGCGTGTTTATCTGAAGTAGATAATTATAACAACAATGAACTTCTGGATATGTTGCTTATTTATGGCGAGTGTCTTGCAAGTAAACTTTTTCCCATTGGTATAAAACTTTTTGGGACACATTGTGTGTCACATTAATCAGTTATCATTTTTTTACGAGTAAGTCTCTTTCATACAAATTGTAGAGGTATTCACATTAAACTTATCTTTCCTCTTGCCTATGCTTTATCAATTCCTCACAAATAGTAAATGGCACCAAATCGTTACCCTTGGTGACAACTTTGAGCACATTATTTAAGTTAGACAGGACCGTATTGGATACATTTTGGAATAAATGAATGTAAGATTCTTATTTTTGAGTTTTTTTTTTTTAAAGTTGTTTTATTTTAAAGACTTCTATACAGAGTTAAAAAGTATCAACTAATAACATAAAAAGATAGATTACTTCCATTTACCATGCATTTTAAAAACAACAGACTCTCGATACAGATATTGCACATGTGTGTTGATTCGATTTGATTTTTATTACATTTGAAATATTATTGTAAGTTATTTAATAGTTGAGTCGGTATGTCGGGAAGAATATGTGCTGTACACATATATACTATAATGTTACTACTTTCCAAAGAGTAACGATTTGGTGACATTTACTATTTTGTGAGGAATGGATAAATCTAATGTGAATACGTCTAAAGTTTGTTCTGTGAATTTCACTCAAAACGATTATGAAAGAGACTTACTCATAAAAAAATGATGCCTGACTAATTTGACACACAATATGTCTCAAAAAGTTTTATACCAATGGGAAAAAATTTACTCTTGATAAAAATATTTGGATCACTTGGAAATTCATAATCAAACCTCATACTTTAGGATTGGACGGATTATTTATTAAATAAAGTATATTAATCAAAATCACTTGAAAACAAGTTTTTTCAATTTTCAATTAATATTTTATTCTATATTTAAATTAAAAATTACTTTACTCCTAATTATAAATATTATTTTTTTTATTACCCTTATAGGTAGGTATACCACCTAATATTTTTACAAATTATATACTTATGGATTTCCAAGTAATGCAGAACATTTTATCAAGAATAACTTTGTGAAATGTAAGATTGTCCAATTTACATGAAAAAAATTGGGACACATACAAATTTATATTTTTAATATCTGAATTAAAAAAATACATTTAAAATAAGCTTTTCTATTAACATAATATATAATCCTCCTAAAACAGACCTTTACTGGGACACTTTGTATAAAATAAACAATTTTTTTTATTTAATTTTGTATTTTTTCTTTTAATATTAAGTACTACCTATATTATTTTTGTATAGCGATATCAACTGATTTTGCGATTTTTCTTATTTCCCTATTGTTTTATAGAGATGATAAAAACGATTAATAGCAGGTCTGGCTCCGAGATGCGCACAACGGCGCACGTTCTGCGGTCACCTCCAGTGTTGCCAGAATATATTTTTGTAATGTACCAGATGGGTCTAAAAAATGTACCAGATTACATAAAAATGTTCTAGATTCTATAAAATTACCAGATTTTTAAACAATGTTTTTATCTCTCGAGATATTTCTAACAGTATCTTTCGAGTCAATTTTAAACAATATTTTATTTCTCAACAAATTTTTCAACAGTATTTTATCCCTCGAACAATTTGTGAACACGATTTTATCAATTTATAATACTATTTAACCTCTGGAACAATTTTTAAATATTTTTTATTTTTCATTAAATTTCTCACAGTATTTTTATACCTAGAACAATTTTTGAACAATATTTTACCCCTCAAGCAATTTCTAATACTATTTCATCCTCGACCAATTTTTAACACCCATTTTTTACCTATCAAGCTATTTTTGAACAATATTTGATTTCTCGTGCAATTTTTGAACAATGTTTTATCTCTTGAGAAATGTCTACTATTTTATATCTGAAGCAATTTTTAACAACTATTTTAATTTCTCTTGCAATTTTTGAACAATATATTTTATACTTCAAATGGTACGCTGAAAAAAGTACTAGATTTTGCTTCGAGTGTACTAGTGTATCAGATTATATTAGGGAATGTACTAGATCTAGTACAATTGTACTAGACTGGCAAAACTGGTCACCTCATAAATCGACATCTGGCAATAGCGCACAACAAATCTTCAAAACTGTTCACTATTAACTTAATAGAAAAGAGGCCGTAATGAAATTATTTACTGTATAGCCAACAAAAAATAGACGCTAATTTTTCCTTTCACTAAAGGCAGAAAGAAGATAAACCTTCTGCCTTTTTTTCAATAGTTAACCTTAAAAAAGTTTAAAAGCCAATCCACGTGAAATAAATATATGTAATTAAAAATTACTGAAGAATGGAAATTGACGCAAAATCAGCACCAAATGTAAATTTTATACCTTGCGTCAAATGGGTAAAGAAAGGTATTGCAAATACAAATCCAGTAAAGCTACAGCTGTCAAAAAATGAATTAGTTCAGATAATAAATGAAACTAGAGAAAAACTTCAAGAAACGGAAATTAATGATGATCCTATGGATGAAGAAACACCACAGCAAGATGAATTTGATTTAGAGAAATATGATGAAGATGATAGTGAAACCACTGCAAATGCTTTGGGTATAGGATCTTTGGCAGAATTAAACAATGACACAGAAGATCATTTTTTCAGAATCTGATGATTCAGATAAAGAAGACGATGCGATCAAACCAACTGATAATTTGATTTTAGTAGGACATGTTGAAGGTGATGCAAGTATTCTAGAAGTTTATGTTTATAATGAAGAAGAAGAATCATTATATGTACATCATGATATTTTTTTACCATCCTTTCCATTGTGTGTAGAACACTTAAATTATGAACCGAAGATGCCCAAGGGGAATTATTGTGCTGTAGGGTCAATGACTCCTGTAATAGAAGTTTGGGATCTAGATATTATGAATGTTATTGAACCTAGCTTTACTTTGGGAAGACCAGGCAGTAAAAAGAAGAAGAAAGAACACATAGGTAAGATATAAATTTGATGCATGATAAAATAGATAGTTAAATACAATTATTTAATTAATTCAGTAATAAAATGTGTATATTTTTTAGGTCATACTGATGCAGTCTTAGCTCTTGCTTGGAATAAAATCTATGATCATGTAATAGCAAGTGGTTCTGTTGACCAGACTGTTCTACTTTGGGACATGGAAATAAAAAGACCCAACACAACAATAAAATCATTTACAGACAAAGTTCAATGCTTAGAATGGCATCCTTTAGAAGCCCAAACTTTACTAGCAGGAGGCTGTGATAGCTCTACAAGAGTATTTGATTGTAGAGCACCAGAAACTCACCAGACTTGGCTTTTAGATGGAGAAGCAGAACGTATTTGTTGGAACCCATTGGAACCTTTCACTTTTCTAGCTGGTACTAGTAAAGGTGTAGTACAATGTTTTGATTGCCGTAAAGGACAATTATGGGCTATCTCAGCACACAGTAAAGAAGTCACAGGCTTGAGTGTTAGTAAACAATGTCAAGGACTTTTAATAACATCTTCTACTGATGAAACTGTTAAGATATGGGATTTCAATTTAGAATCGGAACCTAAGCTTGTAAGCGAAAAGGAATTTAATATTGGAAATGTTCATTGTTTAGATTTATGTCCGGATTTGCCCTTTGTCATTACTGCTGGGGGTGATAAAAAGTCCCATAATTTTACTGTATTTGATATTCAGAATATTGATGTTGTTAAGCATACTTTTACACCCAGGGGCTTAATACAGTTAGTACCCGATACAAATGAAAGTAATTCTACTTAAGTTATTAAAGAAATTCTAAATATACCTGTTTTTTTTTTACCCACCTTCAACAATATTAAAATCAGCATCTGTTTTATAATCATCTTCTTCACTATCAATTGCATTATTCCCATCATCACTGACTCTATTACAGTTAAGTTCTTGATCATTTTTATTGTCCTCTTTTAAATATAGGACATTTTCATTTTTTAAAATTTCTTGTTTAACTTTACTCTTTGATTCCTGATTTAATGCTTGTTCTTTTCTTAAGTTATCAGATTTAAGGCAAGTGTCTCGGAAATTGTATACAATAGTGAGTAAATTTGTACATGGTTCACATATTCGGTAATTGATAATCCAATCCTATAATCAAAGAAACTTTAAATTAAAACTAAAACTTGAAAAGCATACTTACAATTTCTGGCACACTGCTTCTTAATTTATTTAACAAACTTATTTTATTTTCGTCTTTTTCAGAGAGCTTGTTTGAGGGCCATAAATTGTTTAAGCACACACAACAATTATTTACTAAACTATCCATTATAATCACATAAAATTTGTTTTAAGACTACATAACTGAAGAAAATATATAATAGGAAATATTCTGACAGACATTTATATCAATGAAAATGTTTTAAAGTACATTACTTTAAAAAACAAACAAAAATTATTGTTGGAATGTTTCTAGTAAAAAATAATTAATAAATGTCAATTTGCTGGAACCAGAGAGATGTCTTATCTCTGGCTGGAACTGGAAAAAGAAGCTCTTTTTACAAGGTTGCCACATGTGTAGTAGTTCAAATAGTCTTAAAATCAAGAAAATTTGTGACAATTATGACAGTTAGTCGCGATGTCGAATGTCTATCCAGATTTTTTTGTTTATTGTTTACGATATTTTTAATGATAACTGTTAAACAACAATTTTTAAAATGTCCTCTACTAAATGTACAGTTTGTTTTACGAAAAACGAAAGTCTTAAAGATATTTCAAATATCGATGACGAAGGGGTTACATATTTTTCCAAGTTGCAATATATTGCCCCTGAAGTTGTAAGTAAAATATATTATTTGGTTGACTTTTGATCAAATTATTTAATTATATTTTGGTTTTAATTATTTGCAGGAATGGAAAAATGATTTAAAACTTTGTGGTGTATGTATATCTGATTTAAAAGTTGCTTGTAAGTTTAGGGAACAATGTTTAAACATAAAAATAAAACTAAAAGAGGATGAAGTTGCTAAACAAGTAGATGGTTATGATGACTATAGTGACGTGAAACTCGATTATGAATCTGATTCTGAAGAGGAAAAATATGACGCCCGTGATGCCCAGCAGTATTTTATATGTTATCACTGTGGTGATAAACACACATCAAAAGACAATTTAATAGATCATATCCAAGGTGTGCATCAAAGTGATCAAAAAGACCTTAGATATAAAAGAAAAACAATGTGTCCTCAGTGTGGTAGAAGGTTTGCAAAAGAATCATCTATTAAAGAACATTTAGAAGTGTGTGATGGCATTAGGAGGCATAGAAAAGTAAAAACACAGCACCAATGCGAAACGTGCCAAAAATTCTATAGTACCATGAAGATTTTAAAATCGCACCAAAAGACATGTGATGAATCTAATGTGAAAAAAACTGAATATCAGTGTCCAAAATGCTTCATATTTTACAAAAATGCTAAATGTTTGGCTAACCATATGAGGCAGGGTTGTAAAAAAGAGGGTAAAGAACCATCTTACTTCTGTAAAAGATGTGATGGCATTTTCAACTCCGTAGTAGATTTAAAAGACCATTTATTGAAGGAACACAATATAGTAGATTATCAATGCGAGAAATGTGACAAGGTGTTTGAAAATAATGATGAATATACTGCTCATAAAGCCGCTGAACATAAAAAGGTTGTTATTAAGAGATCATTCACATGTCAAGTATGTTCTACTGAATTTGAACTACTTAAAGACCTCATGGACCACTGTACCAATACACATTCCTTAGATGAAAAGTTAATTAGACCATATTCTTGTGAATTGTGCCAAAAAAGGTAAATATTCTAGTAGATATTATAAAAAAAACTCACTTATTAGTTTAATCTTAGTTTTTCTCAAAATTTCTACATTGCATTTTTCGTTGGGTAATATTGTTCAAAGGTGGTAATCTCAACTTTGCCCACAACAGGTAGGTTATAACCACCTCACTACAAGAAATTGTCCCACTATTCTTGAGAATGGTATCTGACTCAAGAGTCTCATAATTACTGTCAGATGACAGCAAGGATATTATTTGTATTTGAGGTTAAGTTAGATTGTAATACTGCTCTTCACACATTGTATGAAAATCTTTAGATTGGTTATTACAAATAAAATGGTACAACAGTTTGCTCTACCTTATACTCCTAACCCACAAACTTCTTAGAAGAAGTTGGAGCTATTGTCAAAGTTATTTGCTGTAATGTAGGTATGGGCATAATGAAAACATTTTCACTCTAACATGCACAGAGATGTAGGTATTTCATATTTTCAAATATAGTTCAATTTGAGGAATCAGCACTTTTTTTCATAATTTGAGTAGAGATCTGATAAATTGGTTGAAATGACTTTGAGTAATGGTAAAAGAAATTTAAAACGTATCTTAATATCTTTTCCCCTTTGCCCCCTTTCGCTATACTTAATGGGTGCACTACATTTGTATTGTAACTTAACTACAGTTTTGGCGGAAAATAAAAATTTTCATAATTTAAAATGTGAAATAGATGTGCAGTTTTCAACATTTAAGAATGACATTATTGATAGAAATTAAAACTCACTAGTTACAGAATGTCTTATTTTACTGGTTAAATGTGTTAAATTTAACACTGACCTTCTATAACCATTCAGCAGGCAATAAAAAGTTTTCATAATCAAACCAAATAACACAAGTGACAAATTATTTTTTTTTTGTTTCAGATTCCGTTCCTCAACAAATTTGGTTAACCACAAGCTCTACCACGAAGGCAACCGCTCTCATATATGCAGTATGTGCGGGAAAAGCTTCATCACAAAAAGTGATCTACTCAACCATGAGATTACCCATTATGACAAGAAAAACTATGGTTGTGACAAATGCGGAAAAGCATTCAAAACAAGAAACAATCTATGCACCCATTATTTAATAGTGCACACAGATCCAATGCTGTGGAAATTTGTGTGCAAAGTTTGTGGTAAACGATCGCCTCTGAAATCAAATCATGACCAGCATACTCGGAGACATACGGGGGAAAAGAATTTTGTCTGTTCTTTGTGTAAAAAGCAGTTTGCTAGTAAAAGGGAAATGCAAGTGCATATTTTGTGCCACAGTAATGTCAAGAGGCATAAATGTGATCAGTGTGGAAAAGAGTATAGAAAGAAACATACTTTAGACATTCATCTAAAAAAATCACATGGTATTGGGAATGCCAAAATCCCTATACGTATACGTAAACATGCATGTCACATTTGCCCAGGAAGATTTTATGATAAAATTAAATTAGCACGACATCTTTGTACTCATTCAGGGTTGAAACCTTTCGCTTGCTTTGCTTGCGAAAAAAAGTTTACTGATAAATCATATTTGAAACATCACCTGAAAACTGCTCATAACATTTATGATGACCCTATGAATTCCATGATGAATAATACTCTTAAAGTTGAAGAGTTACGGCTTGTTAGTTAAGGTTTTTTAATATTCTTGTTTGTATTTTTTTAAGTAATGTCTTTTTAGTATGTCTATAATTATACAGAGTAATATGAAAAAAATGTATTTCTTGAATTACCTGAAATTAAAAAGTACAGAGAGTGTTTTCTAAATCTTTTAATTAGAAATATGTTACAGAAAAGACAAAAATTCTAGAATAAACTCCTATTTTGGATTCTATAATAGCTGCAATGTATTCAAAAATTATTTTAATAATATAGATATAATAAGTACCAATCATTTATTATTAACTAAAAGTGTTTGGAAAATGAATAGCACGTAACATTTATATCATTTATTAAAACTAATTTTGTTCACTCCTTTAGTGCAAAGCCGGCCCTGAGCACAAGCCAATAAAATTCCCACATATTTGTGACAACTTTCTCATTTGAGAGTTACTCACTTCAGGGTATTCAATCTGTTTTTGGCAACGTTGCAAAGAAAGTAGATCATAAATGACATTCCTAAAAAGGAAGAAATCACAAGGATACGAGAAGTAATTAGGCATTCCAACGACCTGTCAAACAATAGGTGCCAGTGGGAAATTCTTGTATATTTAAGGGGGGTAGCGACATAGTCTTGCAACTTGGACGCTATTTTTATTCGAAGTAGTACCCGCCAAGCCTGCCAATTTATGAAGAAATGTATAGGTGGGTTTTTTAAATATTATTTTTATTGTGTTTGACATAAAATATTTAAATGTAATCCATTATTCATTATTTTACGTAAAGTAGATAGAATACACCATATGTCGCCACCCTTAGATATACCAAACCTGCCCACTGGTAATGCATTTGTTTGGAATGTCTAATTAGGCATTCCAACGACCTGTCAAACAATAGGTGCCAGTGGGAAATTCTTGTATATTTAAGGGGGTAGCGACATAGTCTTGCAACTTGGACGCTATTTTTATTCGAAGTAGTACTCGCCAAGCCTGCCAATTTATGAAGAAATGTATAGGTGGGTTTTTTATATACATTTCTTCATAAATTGGCAGGCTTGGCGAGTACTACTTCGAATAAAAATAGCGTCCAAGTTACAAGACTATGTCGCTACCCCCTTAAATATACAAGAATTTCCCACTGGCACCTATTGTTTGACAGGTCGTTGGAATGCCTAATTATTAGGCATTCCAAACAAATGAATTACCAGTGGACAGGTTTGGTATATCTAAGGGTGGCGACATATGGTGTATTCTATCCTCAGAGTAAGTAAGTAGTAAAGAGAGGACAGTAAACAATGTTCGTGTCGCCATGATAATATATGGTCGAGAATTCTAATTAGAGAGAAATAGATTAATATCTCTATCTCTTTGTTTGTATTTGTCAGTTTTACAAAGCTTTTCTCAGACAATTATTCCAGTGTTTAATTTAAATTTGTTAGTGTTGTGGTGTTAAAAGTAATTGTTATTAATATTATATTCATAACAAAAAAGTCATATTTTGTTTTCACTTCCTTAAAAATGCACCTACCTACCTACCTACCTCTTAAAACATTTTATTTTATATTCTATTAGGTCAACATTTTCGCATTTAAAATGACCCAGCGAAATTGTTTTACGGTACGCTACTGCTGAGAATTCTAAAACGAGTGAGAAAGCCTTCATTAGAAAGAGAGATACTGATTATATGATAGCGAGATTAATAGTATAACTTTATGCAGTGGTGGCCTATCTGCTATTATATTATCTAAGATTCTATCTACTTTACGTAAAATCGTGAATAATGGATTACATTTAAATATTTTATGTCAAACACAATAAAAATAATATTTAAAAAACCCACCTATACATTTCTTCATAAATTGGCAGGCTTGGCGAGTACTACTTCGAATAAAAATAGCGTCCAAGTTGCAAGACTATGTCGCTACCACCTTAAATATACAAGAATTTCCCACTGGCACCTATTGTTTGACAGGTCGTTGGAATGCCTAATTCTGTTCAGATTCTCACAGCGAACGAAGTCAGAAAAATGAAAAGGTAACCTGAGACCATTAGGCATTCCAACGACCTGTCCAAATGGCTACCAGTGGGTAATGACAGTTTAGATATGGCAACCCCGTTGTCATGTTGTCATTAACAGGGTCAATGATACATATATAGTTATATAGATTGCTCAAAGCTGGTCGTTTACGAGCGGCCATATTGCCTGGCAAATATTTATTAATTTGAATTGGTTTAGCAAAAATGTGTTTTAAAACCAATTTTTAGCCTTTAGATATTTAAAAAAAATAATTACTTACATTTTTACTTCAGGGCATACGCTTATGTTTATTTTGAAAAATATGGATAATCAATCTATGTAACTATCTATTTCATTGACCTTGTCAAATCACCAGGCCTACAGGGTTGCCATAATTTTGCAATATCATAACCAGTCAAAACCCACTGGTAACCATTCAGTTTGGAATGCCTAATTGATAAGGCAACGTAAGGATACGTCATATGTATTATTTTTGATATACAAAAGTGGAACCGGTAGGCGTGGCTTTTGCACTCACTAAAATGGCGGAAGAGCAGAACCGGATTTACAAGTTTTTATTGTACCTACTATTTCTGGTTAAGTATCATTATTTGAATTAAAAAAAAATTATTTTTCTTTTTATTGACATTGACTTAAAAGGTGGTGGAAGGCCGAGGTTATAAAAGAAGGGGATTTAAAAGCTGAAATATGCCCGGTTTTCAGCCGAGAGGCGCTGAATAAAGTAAATGAAAGAAATAAAATATAACTGATTTAATTATCACTCAAGTGGCTATTAAGCGCTGGAGAATATGTTATTTGCAAAATTGCAACTAATCAATGACCATGATATAACTAACTTGGGGCCGATTCCACCATTGGGTTTAACGAAGTTTAAAATGACATTTTTACATAAAATGAAATTTTAATTTTCAATTAATAGTTTAAACTTTAACACAATGGTAAAATTAACCCTAAAGCGTTGAAATCATTCACAGAAAAAATAAATAATACATTTTTGGTTCACATAAGCGACAAAAGTAAACAGAGTTCGATTTATTGGATCAGTCGTCACACGTTTGCACTAGGGCACATAAATAGCTCAATCTTTAGTTTTTCGTTTTTCTGTCTTTAAATCGGAAAGTACAAGGTCGCAAATGTCAAGTAATCTAACCTTACTTTAATTAACAGCTTTCTCGAAATTAAGAACAAATGTTCATTCCCTAAAAGCTCGATAATCAGATACGAAACTTAATGCAAGGCTCGCGGAAAATGGCTAATAAGCAATCTCTGTGTAGGTAGATGCACTATTCAGGAAATGAAAATGTGGATTAATCTTACTTGGTCTTTCTTGGTACTTTTGTAGATTCAGACTGAAAGGTGTATATCTTCATGCAAGACATTCACTAAATCAGCGAAGCCACAACAAGCGGTGTGCAGGTGCATTTCTAACAAATGTAAAATATGAAGTGATCTTACTTGAGACCTATAGATCTAATGACGATATTATGGTAGTTGGTTTGAGCTGGGCTTCTCACCATCTGCAGAGATTATGGCTACTTATGTAAAGGCCTACCGTAGTAACACACAACATGCACCACAAGCGTGTATGATTGAAAGTCAGACAAAGAATGTGAAGATAAAGTTGAAGTCTCAACCATAGTTAAAGTCACAAATAAAGTTAAATTTAACAGCAAACGAGTTGAAATTGTAGGCTGGTGATAAAGGGAGGCCAAAATCTAGGTAATAAATGTTTATCGAGTTAGGAAAAGTATCCACTGTAAGTGCTTTTCTTGACCACTAAGGTAAAATCCAGAATATTTCCTAATACACAATTTCTTCGCTAGGCAAAATAAGAAATAAATTTGTGAGAGTACTTCCCAAGTATTTTTACAAAAGCTCTAAGAACAAAATTGACGAAAATGGCCTAATCCAAGTTCAAATTCTAAAACTTGAACATTAAAGATAAGTATCTTACTGTAAAACAAGTAAAACCCCGTTGTTGACTAAATGGTTGAATAATTCATTACCTATGTGAAGGTAGAATAGGGACTAAAGTTTAGCAGAAAAAGCCACTAGAAAAGGTGAACATCAAGCAACTATTGTAAATGAAAATAATGTGTGCTGTGATTAAATAAAAGTGTACAAGGAATAAAGTTTTAATATTTTTTTATCCATATCTAGGAGTGATATTTATTTTTAATACTAGACAAACGGTTATGGTTTTGTTGCTAGTCTCATTAAAAAAAAAAAAACTAAGTGATTATTGATGTTAAATATTTATTATTATAAGAACTTATATGCACTACAAACTTAAATATCATATTCCTGAATTCATTTGAAGCATAAAATGTCCTATGAACAAATATGCAATTCTGCATGGTTACCAAGCTACAAGAGTTTAAATAGCAAAAGATATATTAACATAGTATACAACGTAAAAATGTCCAGTAAATATAATATTACACAGTAATATTTCTGAAATAAAAATTTTAAATCTTTTAGAGATATTAAATAGTGATATTTCAGAAATGTGTTCTAGCTTTTTTTCTCTAAAATATTATTAGACTAAAAAAAAAGACATTTATAAATATACAAAATACACAAAACTCAAATATTGATTCTTAAAACATTATTTCAAAAAATATAAAGGAATCACTTCATTTCCACAAAGTCCTTTAAATGCACTAATCTGAAACAAAGTTTTTTTTAATAAATGCCCCAAGTAAAGAAACATTTACGATTGTTACAATCTAATCATTAAGATCAATTAGAAATTTTATTCTAACTTATCAAGGGATGAAAAACTTCACAAACTGATATTCTACTTTTTAGTATACCTTAGAGTTTAAATCAGTTAACTGCACTTTACTCTGCTTTAACATCACTGAACTAACTCAAAAGGCTTAGTTCTCTTGAGTCTTCTTATTAGATTGGCATTGTTGAGGAGTTGGATAATCTCGAGGTTTCCATGTTGGAGCAGTCGTTGGTGACTACTGGCAAATTTTTGTATTCTATTTTCAACAGTCTCCCCTTTAAGGTCCCTAAGAAGATCAGTATTGTGGCAGTACCAGGGTGCATCGACGATGTTCCTTAATACTTTATTCTGGAAACGTTGAATAACTTCGATGTC